TTTAACATAGTAACAAATATACAACGTTTAGACAAGGTTTTGTCATCAGGTAGTATTTATTAAGTCGTATATTCCAGCTCATTTTCAATCATACTGTTTAACGCAGCGTTTCCAAAAGTGTGGGGCGCGCCCTCCTTGGCTGGAGTGGGGGATGATTTCTCTGTGTCGCGAGAGATTAGGATAAAGTCAGTAGTGCAACAATCATCAGGTGTTTTAATGTGTATCAGTGTATTGTATCTCGTTACTTAACTCACTCTTTCACTCATTTAATAAAAGAGGGCGAGCGCAAGAAACCATATTTATTAAAAGGGAGGATGACAAATGTTTGAGAAACGCTGGTGTAATGTGTTCTTCTATAACTAATAAGGAAACATAATAAAAGGTTTTTATTTTTTAACATATCTTGTCTCGCCTCTGGTGTGAAATATCATCTTAAATAGCTGGTGAAGTTCCAATGATTCATTTAATTTGATTAGTCTTCTGAGGTTTTTTTGGCAGTAAATTTTGACATGATTTAACTTAACCTCTTAATTATGGTGGTAAGTTATTAAACGGTTAATTGTTTCTAATATTTTAGTTAAAACGCTCAAACATATTTACGTTTTTAATTTTAATTGTAAGGACAGAAATTATATGCATAGAGGGTTTTGTTCCTGATATCTTCGTGTTTCAATTTTCAACTCATTACAGTATACATACATTTACTTAATGTTGCACAAAAAGCTATCTAAATTATAGTCTATCCTTATTACAAACTTACACAGTGACAAAATATGTAGTCTCTTTGACACTATAAAACAAACTGGATACTTGTTAAGTGCTTCTTGAAACTATAAGGCCTCGCCTGACTGAGAACTAGTGTGCTTGACTCGCAATCTCTGGGCGGAATCGAAACCCGTAACCGAACATGTGCGACTTTTTAGACGTGGGAGCACTGTGATATTACGGCCAATCCTACTATTCGATTAGAGTATCCCAAGAGTTGGGGTAGGGGGTGTTCACTAGCTGCCTTCCCTGTAGTCTATTACTTAATCCCGCTATTCGATTAGAGTATCCCAAGAATTGGGGATGGGGGTGTTCACTAGCTGCCTTCCCTGTAGTCTATTA